ATATATTTGCTATGTATAGGTGCTAAGACACAGAGCTTTTTATTTGCATAGATTAATTGGAATTGCACCATTTTTAAAATACAGTTTAGTTATCTGCCTTAGATACTCCAAGCGGTTGGCTACATTTAGATGTGAGGAAGAGGCAGAGTAATTCTTAAAGAGTTCTATGTTTCTTACAACTGACTTGACTGACAGTCCTTAAGTGCTATTTCTTTCAAAGAAATATAAATAGAGTGTGTGCACAGGCTGGAAATATTGATCTGTCCACATCCCAGAAACATTAAGACACAATAGAAAGAATTTTTAACTTAATTCTGAATAATGCAATAGGAAAAACATAGGAACAGTACACAGTCGACAATGGTAATGTATCTGTAATGTTTTATAATGTCAAGGATTTAATTTAAACTCGAGAAAAAGAAACTGTGTTTCCAGCCCGAACTCACCCCCTTCAGCTTAACTGTGACAGTTCTAAGAACAGCAGGTGCCTAAAGAAACTTATTTAAAGATATAAATCATGTGAATTATTTAGTTATTGAGGACAAGGTACCCACCTTGTAAGTCACTCTAGTCACCAGCTCAAAATTTACAAATGAGAGGCAGTTTGCTAAGTCTTCCCTTTGGAGTTTGCTAATAGTGGAATAAAAATATGCTCCCAATTGCTCCACGGCAACACTGGCCAGAGGTAAATAGAGGAAGAGGCAGTTGCGAAAGGCGGCAGGGGACCCAGAGGTCCCATTTGGTAGATGCTCCCTCCCTGGTGCTTCCTGAACTACTTGGAAACCACTTTTGCTATTTTCCCCCTGTCAGCCTTCTTGCTACAATCATTTCTGGTTCCCACAGAAGGCAGCAGAGAAGAATCAATACTGCTGTGGGTTACAAAACATGAAGTTTTCTCAATTTTGGCTTCAATGGCTCTCCCAGCCCCACAGAAGTGCCCACAGCTGGATTCTTCCTTCCAGCAGTGGTTCAATGACAGTGTTGCAGGCTACAATGCTGTCACTACCTGAAGAGTAGCATTTTCAATTTTTTTTTTTAAAGTTAAGCTTTCTACAAATAGCTCTGTTTCCATTTAATAAATGTATATAATGCTTTCCTAGGGCAATAACGATTGGCTTCCACAATTACATTATTTGGGGAGCAAATGTCAATGGATGAGAGAAAAATGGGCTAAAGGCAGAGAGAGCTGGTGAGCATGGGAGGAAAAGGACTGACAGGTCTCTGAAGGACATCTCCTTGCCTGCTGAGTTCTCCTCTTCTCGCCCCCCACCTCCCACCGCAAATCATCGCCACTGTCTCTCATCCACTCCTTTCTCAGAATCTCTCTGGAGTCTGCAATACTGTGCTTATCTCTTGTCACATAGATCAGAGTTATTGCTTGGAAAATTGTCCACTTAGCCTTCATCTGTAGGCTAAGACTTGCCTCCTACAGTGAAATCAGCCCAGTCCTTAGGCAGAGGGATTTTAAGCATTCATATTTAAGTTTTATCTTGGTGTTAAATCAATTTGTTTGCTATCATGACCCTGTGACTAGTGCAGCCAAGTCTCCCCAGGGCTGGGTTCGGGCCCTGAGCCATCTTTATCGCTAGTCCTTCACCTAATTTGCAGCCCATCCCTGCAACTAGGTTCTTGACATTCACTACCGAATATCTGAATACCTGTCTCTTTAGATTGTTGCCAGTTCTCTCTACAGGGGTGGGGTCTCTGTAGACTCTGTAACTACCTGCTCTGTCTCTGCTTAAGGTGATACATGAGGTTCCCTCTAAGCTTGGTTCATATCGAAGCTGTTTTTCCCACTTGGAGTCATCTCCCAATTTCAGATTCCCTTTCTATATTCACATTGTTGTCTTCCCAAAGCTAGATCAATAATTTAGTTATAAGCCTATAGAAGATCTGAGAGTGTCTGTGGACTCTTGGACCTGACCTTCTCTGGTCTGGTTCAGTTCCACAAGTATAATACATGTAATAAGTAATAAGAAGCATGAATGCTAATAGTAACTTCTATTTGTTGAATTACTTACAAGGTACTTAGCACTGTGATGTTAAGTATTATTTTAATATCCACAACCATCTTTTAATTTATACAGAGCTGCTAGCCTGGTGATAGGCATAAGGACATCTCTTTCCCAATTACGGAAATACTGTAATACTTTCTCATGGGTTAGTAAATAGCCATGGCCTCAGTCTTCCAAGTGCCCCCCCATCAGACTCCCCAGCTCCCAGGTTCTCTTGCCATCAGCTGCCCTCTCCAGGAATGGGAATTAAAAAGTCGGTGCCTTGGACATATATACACTACCAAACGTAAGGTAGATAGCTAGTGGGAAGCAGCCGCATAGCACAGGGAGATCAGCTCGGTGCTTTGTGACCACCTAGAGGGGTGGGATAGGGAGGGTGGGAGGGAGGGAGACGCAAGAGGGAAGAGATATGGGAACATATGTATGTGTATAACTGATTCACTTTGTTATAAAGCAGAAACTAACACACCATTGTAAAATAATTATACTCCAATAAAGATGTAAAAAATAAAAAATAAATAAAATAAATAAATAAAAATAAAAGAATGGCAAAATAAATGCTTCATCTGTAACTTCAAAAAAAAACCAAAATTAACAAACCATTATTCATCAATCTGGCAAAGAAAAAGTGTTCTGATTTTTACTTCAGAAATAAAATTGGATAAAGAAAGCAGTTATAAAGTTATCTAAACAGAATACTTCCACCTTGTCATTCATGCTCCTTCTAAAGCAAAAATGAATCAGTCATTTCTTTCTCGGCTCTAAAATTCATATCAAACAAAGGGAGGGCTACTGGATAGTAAGATGGGGAAAAAGCTCAACCAAATCTCTGTATGTTCTCTAAGAAAACTGCTTCATTACCTTCTTTATTTTCCTCCTTTCTATGTCAAACATAATCAGACAAACCAATGGCAATTTTTCATTTGTAGCCATGTGGTATAAAAAAAGTGATATATTTGGAGTTGTTCTGCAACAGTTAAGTCTTGGGCAAATAAAATATTTTACTGAAAAAAAAATTTTTAAAAATTAAAAATAAATATAAATAAATAAAAAGTCGATGCCTGGCATCTCATTGGTGGCTGCCATGCCATCCTGGTTGCCAAATATTTTTAATATCAGTCCCTGTATGTATTGTCCTTAATCTACAAATTAGAAAAATGAGGCTCAGAGAAGTTTGCTTGCCAAGGCCACACAATAAGGAAATGAGAAAGCAGAGACTCAAGGCCATGTCTCTCTGTCTTCATAGACCATTTTCTTCCTCCCATACCCACAGCTCATAGACACAGAGAGATGGTTCTCAAACTTGTCTGATAGTAAAAGTAAGCTTTTGTCAAAGTTATAGATTCCTGGGCTCTTCCCTTTGGAGATTCTGACCCAAATCAACCTAGTGTTGGGCTAGAATCTACACGTTCAAGGTGATTCTTATGGTTATTCAAGCTTTGGTAACACTGCACTACAGTATTTTTTCCAGAATACATTTTGAGACGGACTAGAATTATGGTGATATCTGCATGTCTTAAGTGAGCACATAAAGCCTTTAACACCATTCCTGAATCATAGAAAATGCTTTTGAACAGAACAGGATATGTGTTTCAGGTAGCAGGCTAGTCACTGCTTGTTTTAGGTAAGGCGGTGCAGTCCAAAAGTACAGTCATTCTTTGTCATCTCTGGAAGCATCATTAGAGCTAACCGATAATTAGAATGAAGCAAGATTACAGTTTAGCTTCTCCCAAGCGGTTAGTGCTGCGAGTGGGGAGCGGGTGCTCTGGTCTCAGAACACATTTCTTATTAAAAAAATCCAAAAACAAAAAATTACAGTTTACAAATAGGTCAAGTGAAAAGGACATAGAAGGAGAGCTAAAACAAAAACAATTCCGTGAAAACTGGAGAGGGGACACTGCGTTTACTAAGAAAAACATCCTGGTTCTAAAAATTATCAATTTACCCCAGTAGCATTCTAAAATCTGCTCCGCATTCACCTGTGAATAAAGAACTTAAGGGAACTTAAATGCATGTGTTTATCTGTGGTGGCCATTGGTGTTTCCCCCCGTGTTTGTCACCGTTCTGTACCCATGTTTTTTCCGGTAATGTCCGACAATGTGGTTTGTTACGTAAAGCCTTTTCAGTAGCTTCTCCCTCCTGACATCCTGTCTCTCATTTCTGCTGTTAGCAAAAGCTCATCGTGAAACATAAAAAGATGTCCAGAGAAAAGGCAAGAATCACATATTAATTGCAAACGGCAGGATTAGGTTGTAATTCTCTTTCTCAGGGAAAGGCTTAGAAAGAAACAGGAAGAAAAAGAGCAAAATAGATGAGCGGTTGTCTCCAGTCTTCTCTTATAATGAGAACTGATTCATTAAATATTTCTGAGGACGGCAGAGTCATCTAACTCAGTAGAACCTCCTAGATGCTCTTCCTGACATGTAAATCATCGATGATCAGGAGAAACCTACGGTGGAGCTGAAATTTACTACCACAGGACATGGCCCAAGCTGGGTTGGTTCTCTTCCAAGTGACAAACCCTGCCAAACGCTTAAACACCTGCCACAGTTAACAGTACACAAACTCCTTTAGACAACTGAGAAACAGCTCATCGGATAAACCAATAAGTAAAATAAAGTGCAAAAGGTACCCTCAGCAGAGGCTGATAAAATAAAACATTTAAATAAATTTAACTGAATACTTGCAAATGGCACATCCGACAATGAGAAGAATGCACAGTGGTGAAAGCCATGGAGAGAAAAACAATATTGAGCCATTTTTCTATAATTCTAGAAAGCTGAACCCATATCTAACTGCACCCTCATCATCTACAAATGATGTAACTTTCCACCCTAGAGTGAAGAGAAATGAGATAAGACAGAACAGCAGCAACAATAATAAAGCTTAAAGTTACACGGTACAAGGGACTTGGAATAGGAACCCTGTCTTCCCTTGTTTATCTGGGTGAACAATAAAGCTTTTCTTCGTTTACTTGTTAGGTTTTTTTTTTCCTCCAGTACTTAACACCTGTATGAAAGTTCCTGACTTAAGAGGCAGGGCTTAGCTAATGAGGTGTGTCAACACGACTGGAAGCCCATTTCTAAATGAAAATTGCACTGTGCTGTGAGTACAATCCCTTCGGGTTGAAGAGAGCATTTATAAAGCAGCAGGGGTGGTAGCCCGGGCTTTCTCTGTAAGAAGGGGCTGGTAGGGTTACCACAGCTAGCGGAGAGAGACGCTGAACTAGAGCTATGGGCTAAAGTGATAATTCTCCTCCAAATTAGTCATATTTCTCCAGGTTACCTTCATAGATAGCGAGCAAAGGCAGATATAATCCCTCTCCTAATTGTAAACCAGCACCAGACTAATTATATTTCCATTTACCCCAGATACTCTAAAATCATAGGCTTTCTGTTTGCTAATTCCTCTTATTCATGGCTTTATGGCTCCAGAGGAGGCTTTGGGGAGTACGAATTGAAAAACAGTGAAGCCAGTTAGTTCCACATAGACATTAACTATGAAAAAGTAATGGAATGAAGGAAAAAAGGGGGAGAGAAGAAAAAGCCTCGTATTTAGTTCAGACTGATTTCAGTCAAGACTGCAGAAGGATTTGAGGCCTTGCCACATATGCATGGGAGTCAAGGTCACAGCTGCAAGAGGACAAAGCAATGTTACAGACACCCAGCCTGTGTTTCTTAACCAGTAAACAGAGCCATTCTGTGATGAGCTCCACTCCCTTTGTCTTAGAATGTGTTTTATCTGTATCCTAGTTTTTATTTAACATCTATGTAATTATGAGTATTTTTATGTCAACTCATTAACATTAGCTTGGGAGGGACCCATGCACCAAAGCTCTTGGGATAATGCAGAAAATCATACAATGTTGGAAGCTGACAAGTAGGATAAATTCCTCTTATTCATGAATAAGAGGAAACAAATTCATTCAAGTCTTTCAATACTGTTACCCCCATGCTCCTTTCCTCAGTACTCACCCTGTATGATGCATGTGGTTCGAGTCTGTGTCAGGGGAATGATAACATTAGAATATTATATAATTGTACGCTGGGAGAAGGCAGTGTGTGTGCGCGCACACACCCATGTTTGTGTGTGTCTGTACTAGAGAGGGGGGGGGAGAGAGAGAGAGAGAGAGAGAGAGAGAGAGAGAGAGAGAGAGAGAGATCAGGCTACATATTCTTGACTGAAAACAAACACTCTTAAAACCGGCTTGAAGGCTTTATTTATCTATAGCTCTCTGATGCAAGTAAATAATAAAAATCTTTCAAGCTATTGCCAAGATCACACAACTTTTGTCTCCCAAGTATCCCCCCTGCTCCGGCCACAATTAAAACGGGGATCATGGCACCAATATGGTGATGTCACTACCACGAAAGGCCAGGCATTATCTTGGTCTTTAGTTGAGGAATGTTCATTGCTGGTTCACCAGGTCAGTACGGGTTCCCAGGGTAGAGGAAGAGAAGGAATTAAGGTTGAACAGGGCCAAGTGAGCAAACTCTCTGATAGCAAAAGTTTATGCCCTCCCTTGAAATAGGGACATTTACGGTGGACACATATTATCTCGAGGCAGCGTGCAGCCAGAATTTGATCCTCCACGACTACCCATCAAGGAATTTAATGGTCAGCTCCTCTATATGATAAGACTCACATTTATGCCACACATTTAGACCACACCCACACCTGAAAGAGTTCCTTGCATAAATGAAGTGCTTAAGCAGCATTGCTTGCAATCATAATCAAGAGAAAATGTAATAATTTTCTGTGAAAAATTTTGCTTTAAAGCAGACAATTTGCCTGTGTTTTTAGTTTCTTGGACCTTTTTTAAAAAGTTTATTGTATTGAAGTGTAGTTGATTTATAATGCTGTATTAGTTTCTGCTATACACAAAGTGATTCAGTTATATATATATATATATATATATATATATATAAATTTTCATGGTATTTTCCATTATGGTTTATTACAGGATATTGAATAGAGTTCCCTGTGCTGTACGGTAAGACCTCATTGTTTATCTAGTCTATGTATAATAGTTTGAATCTACTAATCCCAAACTTCCGGTCTATCCCTCCCCCACTCCCCCCACCTTTGACAGCCACAAGTCTGTTCTCTGTCTGTGACTTTAGACCTTTCTTATCTAGGTCAGGAAACATTGAGGAATTGAATTTAAATTCAAAGGTTGCCTGGTAAATACCGTTGGCCCTCCGTACCCACAGGCTCCACATCCACGGATTCAACTAACTGCAGGTTGAAAATAATTGGAAAAAACTCCAGAAAGTTTTAAAAAGCAAAATTTGAATTTGCTGCATGCTGGCAACTATTCACATGGCATTTACATTGTATTGACTACTATTTACGTAGCATTTACATTGTATTAGGTTTTATAAGTAATCTAGAGATGATTTAATGTATACAGGAGGATGTGCGTATTATGTGTTAATATTTCACCATTTTATATAAGGGCCTTGAACATGTGGGAGTTTTTGGTATTGCCGGGCTGTCCTGGAACCAGTCTCCCGTGGATACCAAGGAATGACTGCTTGGAATCAGAGAAATGGAAATTGTGTATTCCCAAGAGATGATATTTTCATCAAGCTATGAAGACTCATGAGTCATTCTTCTCCACTGAAGGGTTCTTCTTGCCAATTTTCTCATATATTTGTGTTCTCTAGTCAAGTTACCCTCTTTCTTTTGAATGTCTTTCTTTCCCTGGAAACACATTCATTTATTCTACTTTTTTTTCTGGATGCTATAAAAATCTTATCGTTTGTGTTTATTATCACCATGTTCCCCATTTTTGTTTAATCATCATTTTTTCCTGCCTATCTCTAGAATATTCTCCCAACTAACTTGTTGATTTTTTTTTTTTTTTGCGGTACGCGGGCCTCTCACCGCTGTGGCCTCTCCCATTGCGGAGCACAGGCTCCGGACGCGCAGGCTCAGCGGCCATGGCTCACCGGCCCAGCCGCTCCGCGGCATGTGGGATCTTCCCGGACCGGGGCACGAACCCAGGTCCCCTGCATCGGCAGGCGGACTCTCAATCACTGCGCCACCAGGGACGCCCCCTAACTTGTTGATTTTTAAGGTCTAGCTTAAGACCTTTCTTTCTTCACCTACCCTGATGATATTCTGATTCAGTCTGATACACAACCATCACATGTAAGGCAGTGAATTAACTACTAAGTGGATATGAACCTTTGTGAGATTATGGTCCTGGCTTTCATCATTCAGTATAAGTGTCACATTGATGAGCCTGTTATACTACTTTAGAGAATCATAGAGTAGGGTAACCATGTGCACTAGGTTGCTGCATTCACATCCTGCCCTAACATTTGCTAACTGTGTGATCTTGAACATCAACTTACTGAACTCCTTTGTGACTGTTTCCTCATCTATAAAATAGGAATTTTAATAACAGCTTCTACTTGGTGGGGTTATAGTGAAAGTTAAATGAATTAACGTGCTTACATTTCTTAGAACAATCGCTGGCAAACAAAACACACAAACAAAAACAATGTGTTTGCAATTATTATGCACTACTTTCTCAACTGTTAAAACCTTCATATTTACTTCTTTTCCACTACCCGTAGGCACACAGACATCTAGTATATTATCATCATGTGGGTGGTCTTCACTGTCACCTCCTTTTCTGACTCTGTTAGTCATGGAGACATGGATGGTCAATAATACTTCCTCGCGTTCATTTGTTCAGTCATTTGCTCACTAAAAAATATTTATTGAGTCCTTGCTCTATGCCAGGCTCTTTTAACTTTGGAGATACAACAATAAACAAGATAGGAATAAGCCACCTGACCTCATGAAGCTCTTATAGAAGAGAGAGGCTTATACAAATGAAATTAAAAAGAAACAAGAAAATTACAAGAAAATTGTGATATAAAGGCTATAAAGAAAATGAAAGGGGTGATTATTTGTGAACACAAACTTGTGATTCATCATGAGCAGGGAGAGAGCATTTCAGGCTAATGAGACCAGTGAAAAGGCCCAAGAAAGAAAACAACCAAGAAAGAAGCAAAAAGCCTTGATATTTTAAGAAGTAGAATAAGATCCTGTGGCTGTTAATGATATGGGAGACATGACGGAAATCTACTAATGGGAGACGTTGGAAGCCATGGTTAGGAGTTTGGATTTTACTCTTATCAAAACAAAAATCAACTGAACGGTTCTTTTTTTTTAAAATTAGAGTGGAGTTGATTTACAATCTCTGTGTTGAGGGTAGAACAGATTGTAGGAGGAAAAAATGCAAACTGGAGTCCCATTGGGAGGTCACTGCCATTGTCAAGGCCATGTGGATGGTGAGAGATGGACAATTTAAGGTGTATTTTGGAGGTAAAGCAGACCATCTACCTGCCAAGTAAATGGGTGAGACCTTAACACTGAGAAACCACTTTCTCAGGAAGCCAAGAAGCGAAGCAGGTAGATGGCACTTCCACAGGGTGGGTGGGGGGCAGGGGTCATTTGGAATCATTCTGTTTAATTAAATTATAAAGAATACAAATTATGACAAAAAATGTATCCCAAATCTAAATTTACTAACAAATGATCCAAAAGCCCTTTTCCGGACAGAATTATAAAGTAGGTAATGTTTGTCTTTGGCTTTACAATTCATACTTTAAAAAATATTGTTAAGAATTTTTGAGAGCTTAGTATAAACGAAAGGCCCTTCATTCATTTTTCCATTTAATTCACATAACAACCCTTTAGGCATTTACTATGATTATGTCCAATTTTATAGATGTGGTAAAATTGCATCTCAGCGAAGTAACTTTTCCAAGATGAATGAGCCAGACACAAGACAGCTAGGATTCAACCCAAGTGACTGACACAAGAATCTTAATTGAACCACTATTTTACAACCTTGATGACATCACCTAACTCCCTGTCTCACTCTTTTTCTGTCACACACACACACACTCTCTCTCTCTCTCTCTCTCTTCCCTCAGAGAGAATCTATTACTTTCAGTCTCTCCAAATCCACTAATGACCTCCCGAGTTTTGATAAATTACATCTTTCATTTCAATAGTAGAACCACTAATTGTGAAAATCAAGCTTGAGCAAGGCAGTAGAAGAGATACTTCCTGAAACAGAGCAGGCTTACGGGGGCCTCTGATAGCACATCATAGCCGGCCCTGTGGATAAGTGTGGCCTTAGCACGGAAAGGATAAATGATAGATGATTTGGAAGAAATAAAGGACAGGAGTGTTAAAATGTTTTAGGGCAGGGGACATTCAAATAAATGCTATTGGATGATTTATCTTCCAAAAGGTGTTATATTTACTGCTGAAACACACCTCCATGTCTGCCAGAAATGTGGCCATAAAAAAATCTATGTGGGGCTTCCCTGGTGGCGCAGTGGTTGAGAGTCCGCCTGCTGATGCAGGCGACACGGGTTCGTGCCCTGGTCTGGGAGGATCCCACATGCCGCAGAGCGGCTGGGCCCGTGAGCCATGGCCGCTGAGCCTGCGCGTCTGGAGCCTGTGCTCCGCAACGGGAGAGGCCACAACAGTCAGAGGCCCGTGTACTGCAAAAAAAAAAAAACAACAATCTATGTGTACAAAAAATTTACACTGTAGTGAGCTGACCTCCGCCTTTCATTTACTAAAGCCACCACCTTAGCTGTGAGAACGCATTTCCAACTTCCTCTTAGACTTCAACACCTGGATGTCCCCCAGCACCTCAAGCAGGATTTATTGAAAATTCAGCTCGTTACCTTCTCTCCAGACATTTAATATTTGAAATCTTAGTTAACACATCATTTCAGCAGTTGCCAATACCATCAACTTCAAAGGTTTCATAATTGACTCCCTTACTCTCCCTCAGCTCTCCAATTCCAATCCAAAGCAATAGCATATACAGACATTTCTTCTCTCAAATTAGCTCACGCATCTACACTTCTTTACCATCTGCACTATGACTCACGTAGTTCAAGTCTTCCACATGCCTCAAGTGCAATATCTCAGACCAGTTTTCTCAAAATCAGAATTGAGGACAAAGCCAAAGTGCTAACACTTAATACTGAGGGGAAGGAAAAAGCGAGGTGGAGAAGAAGGAAAAGGAAGCACAAGGTGATCTGTTTCCGAACTGGCACAGTTTCTCAAGGAAATCCAGGTGCTTCCTCAGTTCCACAAGATAGAATGGAAACACGGTTAGGAAGAATCTATGGGAGAAGAAGCATAAGCAGATTTTCTTCAGATCCTGTCTTCCATCTCTTATTGGTCAAAGTCTCCTCCTCTGGGCTTTAACTTTCTTACACTTCCATCTTGGTTTCTGGGTCCCTCTGGACAACTACTGAAGAAGTTGGAATCTCCAAGTACCCTCTCAAGTAGGAACTAAGCACTAGAGCTACTCTGGCTCCCCAGTTGCAGCGTGTAGCATGGAGGTTGTGCCGAAGCCCAGCCCTCACCTCCTGGGGAAGGTGTAAACAATTGGAGGTTTGGGACCATAAGGTTACTCAGAACGTAGCACGAAATGGTGTGAGCAGTTGCTAGCAGCAATCTGGACAGAAAAGAAGGCAAATCACTGAGACTGGGGTGGAGAGGCAAGTCTGGGATTACACAAACCGAATCTGTTAAAGTTTACTCGGTGATACTCAGTTCTGCTCACAATCTAATAACCTCTAATAAAGTACAGGTCTTAGATGTACAGAAGATGTCCCCACTTCTTCCCCAGAGGGAGGTACAAATCCAGTCATCTAAGATCGTGCTTGTTGCCATCTCCTAAAAGAGCTTAAAGAAGGTTAGCAGCCAAAGCTGCATTCCCAGCTGCTTAATGACATTTAACATGTATTTCTCTCTTCTATCCATTTTAGATTTTCCTCTCCCTTGGCCAGAACTCCAGCTGGTCTGTATTTCTTACCTAGTGAGTGAACTAGCCCTCCTTTCTGGAAGTGTCTGAGCTATAGCTTCCTTGTCCTTGACAGGCTGCGATCGCTACCATAGTCTGTTCAAAATTATCAGAGGGCACAGAGAACCAAGAGA